TAACTTGGCCATAAAGCTCAGAAAAGACCATGATGCTTTTGTTTTCTAATTTAACTTGAGGAAACAAAGACACAGTACTGGCAAAATACTCAGAAATGACTGCATACTGAACGTGCACAGCCATCTCCATGACAGCTAGTGGGACAATAAATATGTCCATTTGAGTGGGTCTACTCATTCTGGACTGGATAGAAATGTCTTCCCTGAACATTTTGGAAAAAATCAACTAGATTCACTGATGTAAAATCATTTTACATTTACTATATTGTAATAAGCAGAGCCTATTACTTCAAAGCCAAGGTGGATTTACAGCATGACCAAACTATAACAAGAATGTCTTCCAAACCGGAATCGTGAAATTCCCTGACAAAGAATATGGAAGTGAGAAACCAAACCAACTTCCTCCTGTCGTCTCTGCTCAGTGCTAGAGTTACATCAGACCCCACAGTTACATAAGAGATGTCCAAATGCTTAGGTCTGCACTGGCAAGCAAGGAAAAAAAATCAAGCGCAGGAATGCAATCTGAGCAATCTGTCAAAACGGGGCTTCATTCCTAAATTCGCCTTCATTTTGCCATATGACATGGGGGCACTGGGTTTTTGCTCAAACTGGCAGTGACTATAGAATCAGCAATTCTAGATAGTAATTCTGAACAGCTCCTATGATGAGGGTGCACAGGGGCTAAATTAAAAAATTCTTAAAAAACTAGGGAGCATCCATTGACACCAATATATGAGAAGGTGCCTAGAACCTACAAAGTAATGTGGCTTTTCCCTAGAGGATCAATACCACATCTTATTTGTGAAATGACCTCTCCGGTTCCATGCTAACTCACTGGTCCAGCCACGATGCCTCTCCTGTCTCAGCCTCCCCGTAGGAAGGTTGGGAGAAAGAGTCCCTCATTTAAATGAGAAGGGTACTGTGAGATAAGGTACACACGTGAGTGCCTCTGAGTTCCTTGCTGAAAGGCAGACATGAAAATCTTATTTCACTACCCACTCCAAAACAAACAATCAGAAATAATAAAGACAATCCTGATAAGTGTTTCACACATGCACATGCTTAAGTTGAGCATTTTCTTATAGTTCTTGCCTGATCCCTTCTGTTACCCTGCTTCCACTCCCTTCCTTAAAAAATACACATGCTACAGCAATGGGAAATCTCTGCTCTCTCTTGCTGAGCCTGCTCTGTGAAGACAAGAGCATGAAAAGGGATAAGTGGACATGATCTGAAGCAACAATATGCATAATTCTTTTTTTTTTAAGATTTTATTTGAGAGAGAGGGAGAGTGAGAGGGAGAAGCAGACTCCCCGCGGAGCAGAGAGCCCGATGTGGGACTCGATCCCAGGACTCTAGGATCATGACCTGAGCTGAAGGCAGACGCTTAACCAACTGAGCCACCCAGGTGCCCAACAACATGCATAATTCTTAACAAGGTTTACCCTCCTTAGTATTTTAGCCAAAGTTTATTCACCCCTTTGTGCTGACTGGCTTCCTTAACATAGGCTAGTAGTAACACACACAAAAAGAATTCTGCTTATGAATTTGTAAACATCTGCCCACAGTTGCCCAACCCAACATTAAAGGACATCTACTGGTGACAGCAACCGTTCAAATGCTGGATAATTTAAAACATGAGAGGAGTAATGGCCACTTCTAATACCACTCCCAAAGACCACTCTACAAAGAGGATTTTAAGTATATCAATATATGATTTTTATAAAGACTAATGAATTAGATGGTCAAAGCTAAAAAAAAAATATCAAATCAGCCTCTTTGAGGAGTGCCAAAATTGACTGTTCTCTATGAGAATATATAATGTGAAGGCAAAACAGAAGAGGAAGAGACGATGAAGACATGCTTGCCATTTGAACTTTCTGAAGGCAGTATTCTTCAGTGGTTCTTAAGTCCCGTGCTTACAGGAAAGGCTGGGAAGCCTTGAAAACCCATCTGATTGGCTTCATTTCTTGAGAGACATTCTACTTTTGTAGTGTTTGGGGGGTAAACCCAACTTCAGCCTTTTAATAAAAGGAAGGGATGGATCCTACCAGAACTCACATCAAAAGCAAAAGTACAAGAGGAATAAGGAGCACTACCATGAAACGTTTCTACAGTCTGGACATTTTCATGTTGTGGTCTTGCACACCGTAGTCTAACAGGTGACACTGATTACTGTTAATTTTTGCTTCTTTCAAAATATTTTGACCAGAAAATCTGAAAACAGGATGTAAGCTGCCAAAAATAAAAAATTTTATAGCCTTTTCAAGAGATGAGTGCAAGAAGGAAACTAAAGGCAAACTTTCAAAATATAACTGCTATAGGTATTAGCTATTTATACTTTATTATTCATCAAAAACAGAATAAAACCCCAAGATGAAACAATTTACAATCTATTCTGTTTGGCTGAACAGTTTATGAAGGAATAAACTGCCAAGAAAAAAGAGAGTAGCAGGGTTTTATTTTGTTTCTTGGTTATACAAGAGGAATTATATCCTGTTTTGCTTAAGAAACCTTAAATGCTAAAAAAGAAGAACTTTGGTGTCATTTTTATCACAGATGAGGCATAGCTGAACCAAACATAATTTGTAGGTAATTTGAGAATTAATTCTCAGTGCAAATTCCATGCCTAGCTTAGCAATGATTAAAACTATTAATTGGTTTGGGACAAAAGAAAACATTCTTAAAAGACGCTTAATTACCCCTTTTTCGAATATTTATATTTCAAGTTGCTATACAATGAACCAAATGTTTATAAACATTTAGGTATATACAGGCATATACCTAGTATCTATTAAATGATCACAACAATGGACAATCTACTGCTAAAAGATGTTATGTATCTGACACCCTATAAAATGGAATCTCTCAGCAGTACTATAGAAAGAAGTGGAAAGATGTACTTGATTCATTTATCTCTCTTTATATCTGTGTGTATTCTCACCATGTGCAAAAATTTAAATATCTTCTTTAATCAGAATTGTATGTATGACCTCAAAGCTTTACACATAACTAATCCCCTTAATGAGCATCAAGGAAATAACTTTGTCCAAAATACTGTTTCAAATAAGAACTCTCTGGAAGAGAACAGGTTCCTATTTAGTTTTTACTGATGGATGATATTTCACAGTACCTTGTAAAGGCTTAATAAATGCTGTCTTTTCCACTATCCACAACACAAACTTCCTAGTTAAAACCATGGAATACCAGGTCCTGGAATTATGTTAGGCAACCTAGGGCAGTTTCTTTCCCAATTTCAAGAAAAAGGTAAAAATGGCAACTTTAATAATCTAAAAAGTCAAATCCCAAAAAAGAAAGAATTTTTAAAAGTATGAAACTAATCTGGATCACCAAGAGACATCCTATACATTTAGCTAACTACCAAAAAGGGACAGCCAAAACCTCATGACTAAATATGAAATCAAATGCATTTTCCAAACAAAACTAGATCCAAACAGACATACGTTACAGCCTTAAATCTGAAATTTAGACATTCTCGGTCATGATACTTTCCCTGGTGTATCCACGTAACTTATTGCTGGATCCAAATAACTTGTCAGCTCAGGGACCACGCTATGTAATACCAACAGAAAGTTGGGATCATGTAGAAATTTCTTACTTGCTTTGTTTTGAAATGTTAGTCAAACCAATGCCTATTCATTCTACCTCTTAAATATGTCCCCCCTCCCTGCCTTCTCGTAGCTCATGTGGCCTTGGAGGGCTTTTAGAAGCGGCACTCTCTCAGTGCCACTGCCCTCCTCTCCCACCTCACCCTGACAAACTTCCTTTGCTGCAGCTCAATGAATTACCTGTGGTTCCCATAGCACTTTATGCTTCCTCCCATCTCACTGTTTCTGAACACACTCCTCTCTGCCCTAGAACACCTTTCTCCCCTTCTCCCCACCCTGCCTAAGCCTACCTTACACATCATTAAAAATGGACCTATTCTGGCAAGCCTCTCCTCTCCCAGTCCTTCCAGATTTCTCTCTTGGGCGGACTGGGGTAGGCAAGGGCCCTAAGACACTCCTTTCCTACAGCCCCAGAGCATTATATCACAGTATCTGTCATACTATCTTACATTTCCACCCCTAAGACCACAAGCTCTTTGAAAATCAGAAGCTGTATCTGTTTTATCTTCTGATCCTAAGGTTTAACAAAGTGCCTGTGCATCACAGGAATCATTCAAGTAAAGCTGTTAACGAGATAAATAAGAAAGAAAAGCCAACAGGACTTACAAATATAGTAGTACTCTGATTTCACATTAATAGATTTTTACCCTTAGAAAACAGTAAAAATATAAGGAAAAGGATGAACATAAATTTCTCATAATATATTATGAAAGATGTCTTTTGTATTAAATAGATTATATAGAAATTAGATTTGAATAGAGTAAGCTGCTGAGAGTAATTGATATAATTCTACACACTATCACAAAGAAACTAAATACTACAACACAAAAATATTATATATTTGGTTTTCATTTGTTCCTTGTTTTCATGTTTAAATACTATGTCAAAAGTAACTATACACATTCTTTGATCGTAAGTTCCACCATTTATATTAGAGAAGATCAAAATCAAAATATACGTGGACCCTACAAATTGCTTTTAAAAATATATATAGATTAACGGCTACTTAGCACTAATCCATGAAAGAAAGATGAAAAGCAACATTGCTCCTAATTGTGAAGAAGACAATCCTGCCCACTCCCCCCCAATTCTAACATTTTGTTAAATGGCTCTAAAACACAAAAGCCCACAGTGACATTAATTCTTTTCCGTCAATCTGAACGGTGAGGCCCATGTATTTTTCGGTTGTAATTCAAACCTGAACATGCCATAATCTGTAAAAAGCACAAATCAGAATGTCTTTTAACACAGGCAAAATGACATCCTCAGTTCAAAAGCAGAACTCTATTTCCAACATTAGACAAAGTCATTACATTATAATAAAAATCATGACCAAGTTGGGAATGATGTTTTGAGGTCTTTGAGAATCCTTACCTAATCCTATTCGGTTTGGACTTGTTTCTCGGCTACATCCCTGACTCCTGGGAATCTTGCTTCGTTTTTCTGAAGAGGGGGTCACAGGTGGGCCTCTTGAGGAACCCCCAGCAAGGCCACCATAACCACTTCCCAACAATTTCCCTGGGGAACTTGACCGGCTGCCAGCTAAAAATGAAACAAAACAAAACTGAAGAATGGCTGTACATCAGGGAATAAACTATAACAATTTCAGAAGTCAGTAAACACATTATTTGGCTCAAATACTTTTATATAAAAATGGCATTTTTGGTTGGTGGTAGTACTATTTTTTTTTTTAACATGGAGCATAAAAGAACATCAAATATCATAAAAGAATGTTTATACAAAGAAGAATTACAGGTGGAGTTCTACAAAAATGACAGTAAAATTTCTGATTCAAAGAGCAGGCTGAGTACCAACAGCTCCCTGTTCCACAGCAAATTTCTACAAATAATCACAAAGGTGTTTGTTTATTGTTTCATTTTTTTATTCTGTAAGAGTTGATATGTCAAAAGTTTTAAGTATAACCACTGGAAGAAGAGAATTATAACAGAAGTTTCTTAAACATTAGTTGAAGAGAAGAGAATAGATCCAAGAACATCCCAGTAATTTAACAAATGGAAGAAAAGGAAGCAGGAAGATAACTAGAAACATGGTAAATAAAAATCACAAAATAAAATGGTAGGAATAAACTCAAACATATCACTAATCATAATAAATGTGGCTGGATTAATTTCATCTATCAAAAGACAGAGATTCTTGGATTGGCTTTTAAAAAAATGAAACTCAACTGAATGTTGTCTATAAGAAACAAACAACATACCTAATACAAAACAATAAAAGAGTGAAACAGCATTAAAAAAAGGACAAAGGATATCTCATATTGATAAAAGAATCATAGTCAATGAAGACATAATAACCATGAACCTTTATGCTCCAAGTAACACAGCCTTGAAATATAAAACATAAAACTGATAAAAATATAGGGAGAAATTCAGGTCATAATTATTAATGCACCTCTAAGAAAAAAAAAACTAAAGAAACTAATAACTAATACACCTCTGAAATTGGCAGAGCAGTCAAAATTATACAGATATGCATAAACACACAAACCACATACACACACATACAACAAACAGAAGACATTCTTTTCACTTTTCCACACATATTACAAAAACCAACTATGTACTAAGCTTCAAAGGAAATCTCAGAAATCTACAAAAATAGAAATTACATAGACCACATGCCGAGATGTACACAAAAGAATTAGAAATTAAGAACAAATCATATAGTTAGTAATTTTTATAAATGAGTAAGTGGCTGGATAGCTATATAACCATTTTTCATGAGACAACATTCTTTCTTTAACAGCAAAATTTTAAAGATCACATCAATACACCGAAATACACTCTCCTTAAGCAGAGAAGGCAATAAAATTCTCAAACATAAAGTGCATGTTATTATGTACCAGAATAGAATGAACCAGAGATAAAAACCCTTAAAATAACACTTAACCTGGAAACACACACCTACACCTCCATCATTCAAATTAATCATTAAGGTGACCACTCACAAAAATTAGGATTTTATAATGACAGCTACAGTTTAAAGTGAAATTCATTATAAAAATCACTGGTACGCATCACCATGAAGAACCTGTCTCAGGATTTATTAATCTTATGCCCATAAAACTTTGAACACCCAAATGAACTACTAAGCTGTGTAAAAGGAGAAAAGAAATCCATTCCAAACTCTAGAATCTGAACACAGAGAAAAAATGCAGAAAGATTAACTAAGCTCATAATAAACAGAGAAATTAATATTGTGCAAGGAACATGGGACATGGGGTGAAGAACGCAAAAAAAAAAAAAAAAAAAAGGCAAGAAGAGAAACGGCTTACCACCAGCAGGATTAGCAGATCTGGATCCTTGATTATGAGAGCAGACCAAAGGACAGGCAAAAAGTGGATTAAAAGACAATAGTACAATACAGAAGGTCAGCATGCAACACAACACAAAAATGTCTTTGTTCACAAACACATTGGCAAAATAGTTTTTTCTTCTAGGTCTTTTTCCTCTTAGTCTACTTTTGTACTTATGTTTATTTATTCATATCATACTCTATCAGCATTTATTTCAGGTCTGTTCATGAAACACTTAGGAACCTACAATGTGCCAGGCCTGGTGCCAGGCGGAGGAGATGAAGACAAGTGTCTTGGCCTCCGGCGGGGGGCACATCTCTCTAGTTCTGAGGAAGTGGAGAGAAGTGACTGCATCCTACTCATTTATGTATCCCTACCACCTTAACTGGTGCTTACCACATAGCAAGTGCTCAATAAACATCATGAATTCAAAGAAACTGCTACTAATTAGTTTCACCTGAACATCCTATGCCAAATCCTCAAATATTTAAATATCAATCTTCACATACTTAAATCCTCAAATATTTAAACTATGCTGTTAAGGGCCCTAAATCTAATTAATCTAATGTTAATGAAATCTACTTATTATACCAGGACTACGAATGCTAGTATATCTACGTTTGTAAAACATATGAATATGCTCATATTTACTTCCTATTAAAATAATTTTTTTAAATACTTAATTTATATGCCTAAGTTTAAGGTCCAGTCTTGATTACTGGCTGGTGTTTTCTCCCTCCCTGTGAGTGGAATTTAGTGAATCAAGTAAAACTGAAGACTTTTAAAAGTGGAGCCCCAAGCTAGGGTGCACTATTTCTACAAGACTGAAGAATTAAAGCCCCTTGCCCTCACCCCCACTACAGAAGGAAAGTAGTCTCCACTATCACCTAAGCAGTGAGCCAGGCTATGGGCAGGAACCCCTGCAGAGGCCAATGCCAATAAACAGCAGACATAAAGAAACGTACAGTACCGTTCAACCCTCCCTCTCCAAGAAAGGAAATAACACTGCACAGCTAAAGAGCTAGATATTTTTTTTATTAAACTTTATTTTAACATACTAAGCCATATTTTGAGTCTTGAACATCTTTGTCAAGAAAAATTTCTGCGGTCATGACCAGAGTACTATATCCGTCTGTGGCTCCAGGCATCACTAGGGTTCAACAGAACAACTCGAGCCAGGACAGTGTTCCCAAAGTAGAAGCTACTGGGCTACATACAGATGCACACCCTATGTTGTGTTGCATATACCTGTGTGATACACCAGAAGCATGCATTTCTGCATCAGACAAGCCTGGCAGCAATGTATCACTGATGTTACACTTTCTTTTCAGCAAGGTATTACACTTGCTTAACATGAGGCCTAGAGTTACCAGAGGGACATGGGAGAGTATGTGAATTCCCAAGGAGCTGAGAAAGGCATTCTAAATACTAAGGAGAACCTAAGATTTGGCCACAGACTCTCTACATGAGCCAGACAGCTCCTGAGGCCACAGAGGAGGCAGACACATATGGGCTGGGGAGTGCTGCGCAGAGGGACCGTGTGCAGCTCCCAGGGAAGCGGAGCCTTCCTCCAACACGCTCACCCTGCCCGGGAGAACTCAGACACCCAGCTCTATGCACACAGGGCGAGCAGGGGACTCAAAGGCAAGTGTGGCTGGGAAGTGAGACACCGGGGTGGTTCCTTAGAGCGATCTGAATACACTCCTTCCATCTATGGCTGCTTTCATGGCCGATGCTAACAAGCCAAGTGACTCAACATGTACAGACAAGCAGTAATGGAAGCGAGAGCAGCTGGGCAAAGCGGGAACCCACACTGGCAGGAAGAGAAGAGCAGGCTGCAAATGTTAGAACACAGGGTTAATGGGGAGAGCTTTTAATGGATTTGCTTACTACCACTGAAAGAGAACTCCACGTTAAAATAATCCCCAGATACTGCTCTTAAATTACATCAGAGGGACACCTTATCAACAGTAAAATGGGTCACAGCCCAGGTATGTCTCAATTTGAGATGCTTAAGGGAGAGAAACCATGTTTTAATGTTTAATGCCTAATACTACAAAATTTAAATCACCTGGCAAGGAGACAAAAGTATCCTGGAATACTCCATGTTGTAAGCTTACCCAACAAACATCAAGACTACTCACGGCAGCTTAGAGCCACACAAATGTGTTTTTCCCCTGAAGTAATGAAAATACTATCAATTTTTCAACTGTATAATGGGCTGTTGAACAAAACTGAGATAACAGAGAGTATAAAATATACTTCTTACGCTGGGACTGTGAAACCACTTTGGCGCGGCTGCGGCCTCGACTGTCAGGTGTGGTGGCAACATTGGTGGCGCTCCCAGAGCTCTGCCGTCTCGTGCGGATCCGACCTGGAAGATGCAGCAAAAACGGTGTTTCCATCGTGTCTTCAGTCAGTGTGACCTACTCAAGAAAACCACGCACACCACGAACAAGCGGCACTGATGGGCCACCTGCAGGGGCGCGGGTCTTCCTCCTGTGCGGTCCTGACCCAGTTCCCTGTGTGCAGACGCATGCGCATTCCATCTACACACTCAAGTTCTACAGATACGTTAGCAACTCCTGAGAGTGAGTCATGAACCTGGAAGGTGCTTCTGTTACAAGTATTCTAGCATATTCTATTTTCCAATGAGGAAGTGATATCCACTTGAGAATTTTTTTCCACAATTTTTTTCACATTAAACTCTCTTACCTACAAATCTGTCAAATTTCCAAAGGCAGAAAATATTAGCTGTCATCTTATGAAAAATACTACAGGAAAAAGAGTAAATGCAAAACAAAGCAAAACACAACAACAACAAAAAAACACAAAACCCTTAACTCAGCAATCAAAAGCTATAGCATCCTGGAGAATAAATGTGTTTTGATATGTAGCATTAAACTTCTATTTTAAAGCACGTATGCCAACAAGTTTCTAGGCTGCAAAAGATGAAGACAGAATCAGCAGTATAGGAGTAGCGAGAGTAACGACGACCTAAAAATAATGGATGTCATAGGCATTTATGAAAAGACTTTGTCACTGTAAGTAAAGCAATCTGTTAATTCCCATTATTAAACCATGAAACCTCAAAAACAAAAGTGAACTCAGAAATGCAAAATCATCGATGATGAGACTAGTATGGTTAGAGACTAAACTTTTTAAAATTCAGGGCTTCTTTGGTTTCGGGTGGGCACAAAATGCCTCTCCTGCCATAATTCAATCAGAACAGCAATCTGATATGGAAAACACAAACCAATAGAACTCGCATTGGCATCTTACATTGCTCAAAACCATTTCTACCTCATCATTTAAGAAAGATTACAGAAAAGGAATACAGGAAAACAAATCCTAAGGCTTGAAAAAGGTTCAGGAAAGGGAGGTACGGAGCAATAAAAGCACTGCTTTAAGAAAAAAAGTTAAAACTAGAAAGAATCAGTAATTTTTTTTTTTAAAGATTTTATTTATCTATTTGAGAGAGAGAGAACGAGAGATAGAGAGCATGAGAGGGAAGAGGGTCAGAGGGAGAAGCAGACTCCCCGCTGAGCAGGGAGCCCGATGTGGGACTCGATCCCGGGACTCCAGGATCATGACCCGAGCCGAAGGCAGTCGCTTAACCAACTGAGCCACCCAGGCGCCCAAGAATCAGTAATTTTTAATAGCAGTTTAAGCAAAGATTCACAAATTCTAGAATCTGTAGTAAGAGTTTTATATATATATATATATATATATATATACACACACACACACACACACACACACACACACACACACACGATATTATACTAACAGCTGTATATGTATGAACTTGGAATCCTCATAAGAACATATAATTATTCCCATATTACAGATGAGGAAAGAGAGAAACAGGAGGATTCATGAATCTGTCCAAGGCCACACCACTGGTTTAGCTAGCTGTGCCTGCCTGGCTGGCTAGCTGGCCTATGAGTGAGGACATTTTACTTTCCTAAGGCAGTCACCAAGGCAAAGCGAACATGAAAACCCAAGTGAATCTCACTTCCTATTTTAAATTTACTGTAAAACATTTAGGTCACAAAAAAGATATTTTAAATGAACATCCATACCCATTCAGCGCAAAAAATAAAAATCTTTGCTAGCGTCCCTGTACCCCGTTTTCTCCCAACATTTAGTAACCTGATCCTAAACGCAGCATTCATCATCCCCTTGCATTTCTTTGAACTTTTAATATAGTTGTATAACCACAAAACAGATGGCTTTATTTAATATATTTCAAATGCTTTTAATTATATCACAGGGTATATATTCTTCCAAAACTTATTGTTTTGCTCAACATTTTGTGAGGTCATTTACGGAAATGATTTTTCGGTAGGAGGTAAAGGAGAGATCCATTTTATTTTTTCCATATGACTAACCGACGTCCAAATAAATTTTCCTAACCCCTTTCTTACTGATCTACAAAGCTGTCTTTTGGCATTTTACCAAGTACTTAAATACATACGTAGGCTTGTTTCTCAATTGTCTACTCTGTACACGTGTCCACACCGGTGCAACATCAAAATGTTATGATGAGCTTAAATAAAAATCTTGCTAACTGGAAATCAGCCCACTTTTTCCTAAGGCCTTTGCTCTCTTCCACATGGATCTAAAGATACAGTTTAAAAAGACCTGTTGAAATCTTAACTGGCATTATGTGGAATGCAGGGTTAATTTGAGGGATGGGGGGGGTGGTGAGATAACTTTATGATATTGATCTTTCCATGTTTTTTCCTTCATTTCACTTTCTTCAATATCCTGTAACAAAGCTTTATAATTTTTTCTATTACTCATGAGTTTTTATAGACTTATTCAAAGGTGCCTTATTTTTATGACACACTATTTTTTATTTAAACTATATTTTCTAACTTCTTGACAAATGTAAATGTAATTAATCTTTATATTTTGATCTTGATTCTGGGAACTTTGCTAAACACTTGTTAATTCTACTAACTTGTACGTAGATTATCTGGAGTTATATAAATAGAATATCATCTACAAACAAGACTTCAGTTTTTTCCCTTCAAATTCTACCCTTTCATTTCTCTGCCTTTAACCCGCTGTCTCGGACATGTAGTATGCACCTACCTGGGTAGGCTTTGTTACTTTGAGCCACGTTAACAAAAAAAATTCTGGAATTTCACAAAAAGTAGGATATTTCAACAGACTAAGAAAACTCCTTTTCCTAATTGTTAAGAATCTGCCAAAATGTTTGTTGCATTTTTTGATGCTTTCTCGGCATCTTCTGAGAAAAGAGGATTTTTCCCTTAAATGTGCTGAGCTTCACCAGGAAATTTCTAAGCTATTAAACCTGAGATAAACTCCCCTGCTCATAATGTACACACTCGCATATAATGCCTCATTTGTACCTTCTCTGGTTTAGTGCTAAGGCTACCCCAGCTGCATTAATGAGTGAAGTAGTCCCACTTTCTCTTCTTGGAGTTTATGAAAGACTGGGATTATCCAATTCCTCAAATAATTTGTATTTCTTAATCCTGTCTAGTGAATGTTTAATTCCTATTTCATTAACTTGTACTCTTTATTATTTCTTTCCTACTGTCCTTTGGGTTTATTCTGTTCTTTTTCTAACAAATTGGAAACAACCTCCTAATTGTTTCTCTTCTAATATAAACTTAAGGCTATGAATTTTCCTCTACGCACTGCTTTTGCTTCATTTCATAAGGACTGATATGTAGTTCAACATAATGTGTTGCTTTTAAAAAAATTTTTTCTAGATCCCATTTGTTCATGTTTTGCTTTGGAAAAGTTAAGTTGGATCTGTACTTCACACTTTACACCAAGAAAAACAGCAAATGAACCTAAGATTAAAATGTAAAACATGAAACCACAAAAGTTCTAAAAGAAAACATAGGAGAAACCCTTTGTAACTTGTAATGGCAAAGTCCATTCTAGTTATGACTTAAAATTAAAAGCCATTAGGAATTCGTTAAGTCTGACTACTTAATTTTTTTGTAAAATCTCAGTATGACAAAAAGAAAACTATGAGCAAGTTAAAGAAAATGACAAATTGGGAAAAAAATGTTTACAATTCATATCACAAAGGGTTAATTTCCTTAACATATAAAAGGTTTCTAGGAATCAACAAGAAGTCCACCAACAAGCAGTGTGCTGGTAAATGTTTAACAACTGGCAGGGGGCTGGGAAAGGTTCCTGCAGATTTGTGTTTTCCAATTTCCCTGGTGTTATTCCCACCATGGCCAATTTCCAGCTACTGACACGAAATCAACCAGATTACAAAATGTCTGAAAATTTAACAACTGGCTGTCATGAAATAGTCAAGACAGCTCCAACACACCACTGCCACAACCCAATAAAGAATGGACAAAAGCTAGGAAAAGACAGTTAACAGACAATAGAAATGGCTCGGGTGTATGAAATATTGTTCAGCCTCACTCAATAAGAAAAAAAAATTAAAACGACATTAAGAATGCCATTGTTCTAACACCTATCAGAGTGGCAAGAATCTAAGACTGTGCTAATAGTCTAGCGTATAGGAAAAGAGGCACTCTCATTGGCATGTTTTAATCTGCGGGAATTCTGAGGAACCAGATTTGAGTGCCTTCCTCTACAGAAGCTCACTGCTCCTGTCCAGCACCCTTCAATTCATCAGACACCACAGATGAGAACTGAAACCACAACTTATGTGAGAAGAGAGCTCAGTTACAAATGAGGGGAGATTGGTTTTTTTCCTCTGGCTAGGACAAAGTCAAGAGATACCATGTCAACCTGAAGATAAAGAGGTTTTGTTCCTAGTACACCTTTTCATGGATCTATATAGCACCTGGACAATGCTGGCTCAATGCCAACCTTACCTCTCCCCTGAGGGGAGCACAATGGCTTGTGCTCACATGTGTCACTAAGACCTCAGGGCACCCTTAAAATCAATTTTGGGGAGTTAAAAGGGCCTTTTTGTGTTATACTCAGATAAAGATTTCTTCTGTAAGGAGAGAGTCTGTTTGTTTGTTTTCCCTATATTAATTTGGTGATATTATTCTAAGTGCCTATATACGCCTTAAAGAGATGATATAAAATACTCCATGGTCTTTAAGAAAAACAAAATCTACTCAATAAATGCAGCAAAGCATAAAAAATATATTTAAGTTCTACATTATGACCTGTTATTAACATTCATATTCATTCATACTGTGTTATGACAGAGACAGAAAGTAGACATGAAAGAAAAAAACGTACATAAAAGAAATAGAAATAAGAGGTATTAGAGAACTAGCCAACAGAAAAAAAAAAAAATTCTGGAGATGGACAAGAAACCAACACACCCATCCAAAGAAAAGCAGACCCAGAAGAAAACAAAGACCTGGAAGAGAGCAGCCTTTGACT